GGCCACGATGGAAGACGACAAAAAAGAAAGAAGAGAGGTGGAAGGAGGAGAGGTTGCAGCTGAGGAGGAGGAAAAGAGAGTCTAGGGAGGAGGAGAGAGGGAGGGACAGCGGAAGAGGATAGACGATAGAGAAGAAGGAAGAGAGGCGAGGGGGGAGGAGGAGAGAGGGAGGAGCAGCAGAGAAGGAGAGGCAGTGGGTGTGAAAATAGAGAAGGAAAAGGATATGTGAAGGCAGAGGAAATGGAGGAGAGAAGAGGAGAGAGGAGAGAGGAGAGAGGAGAGAGGAGAGAGAAGATGAGAGATGTTGAAAATAAGGCTGAAGGATATTTTGGGAAACATAAGGTTCGAGGATTTTTTGCTTGCCCAGAAAGAACTAGGAGGAGAATGCTGAGATTCTTATTTGTAAAAAGCCAGATGCAAATTTCCCAAATTATTTTCCTGGATGCTTTATATTCATCAATAGATATACACCTATGCTTCTCAGAGCAAACAACCAGTAAAAATATCTTGTTAAATTTCTGTTGACAATTTACAGTTCACTATTCATGAAATGTAGAGATCTCCTAATTAAGTTCCAGAATTATGACTTACGAAGCTTCATCAGGAATAACTTGTACTTTAATGTGTAGGTTAACAAAAAAACTTCAGGGAAACAAACATGACAACTGACGAAATTCCCCCATTATGCAAGGAGATTTGAACTGCTAATAAGTCTCTTTCCTGACAACTCTTTCGCTCTTTTTCATCTGAGATACCTTTGATGAAATTGAAGTTATATAAGAAAAACATAAACAGATATATTCAAGGACCAATACTTAGATTATGGCATATAAATAAATCAATGTTCTCAGTCCTGGGACCATAAGAATGCTAAACATTGAAACCCAAATGAGCAAAATGCTTAGCATAACGATGCATCACAGAAGAGAAACCTAAATTTGGACGATATTGTGATTACTTCTCCTTTTGTTGCCTAATATGGAAACACAGTCATGGGAATGTATACAGATTGCTTCCGTTTGAAAGTTGATATACTTCAACAAAGATATCCCCTAAGACAAGACTTCCTTAGCCAACAAAAGTGACAACTGATCTCATTCCAACCATAGTCTCTTGGAGCATTCTGAAAGAAATAATAAGATTGAACAACAAGCAGTATATTGTGCAATTTTTTATGCATGCTACAAAGTATACCAAATCCATCCGACTTTAAAGCTTTTGAATATGAGGCATTTGAGACATTATATGGTTTTTGACCTGATCATGACACCCTATCATTCTTATACAAGTGGAGCATACGAGTTTGCTGGTGAATCATGTATGGAAGTGTTCACCAATAAACATTTCAAGTCCTGTTTAAAGTGTCTAAAGGGTAAGCTTTGGTACAACACTAAAGCTGATGCCTTGTAACCTAGAGGTTACGGGCTCGAGTCTCAAAATCAGCCCATGCGGGGTAAGTCTTCTGGCTTCATACGTCTGCCCTTCTCCAAAGCCCACAATAATGGATCCTTGTGCATCGATCACCCTCTATGTTTGAAGTGTCTAAATAGCATAATCGTGTATCAATAATTTTGCTCAATAACCAAAAGAAACCCAAAAGGCAACCCCACTCTCCTAATAGCAAGACATACAAATATATATTCACCTCAACTTCTTGTTCATTTTATTAATAATATGAATTTGTTAGTCATATCTATTCTTAATTACTGATTTTTAAATGAAAAGAACAATAAATAAAAGTAACATATGATATTGTACTCATCAGGTTGTTTTGTATGGTATCACGTTGCATGATTTTCAGATAACATCATGAAGCAGTAATAATGTTGCGATGTAAGAAAAATTCTTAGGTGCTCAATGAGCACCAATGTGACATACACCACACTAATAGAAATAAGACTTGTAGCATAAGAAATATTATTTAATACCGCAATCTTCTCTTTTTTCATGTAGTTTGCGCCATATAGCCTATCTCTATTGGTGTGGTGTATGCCACCTTGGTGCTCATTGAGCACCTAAGAGTTTTTCTGTAAGGGTCTGTTCGTTTCGCAAAAAAAAAGGGAAATCAAAGAATAGGAAACCTATTTCCTATAATAATTGTTTTGAGGTTGTTTGGTTGGATTAAAAAAGAAGAAAACTATAGAATAGGAGATGAGATGAGTTGTCACCTTATTATTGGATAATGCTAGTGATTTTTTAAAAAAACTTGTTTTGAGGTTGTTTGGTTGGTTAAAAAAAATAAGGAAATGAATTGGAGGTATATTATTGGATGATGTTTTGAGGTTGATTGTGTTTGGTTCATTTTTAAAAATAAGAAAATAGATGAGATGAGATGAGTTGGGGGTATATTATTGGATGATGTGACACATACTTAAGGAAATCAATTTCTTATTTTTTTTGAGGAAATGGATGGAAATGAAGGTTTAATAAGATGAGATGAGTTGTCACAATATTATTGGATGATGCGTGTGATTTTAAAAAATGAGATAAGATGAGATGTGATGAGTTGGATGATGTGACACATTTCTTGTGTTTGGTTTATTTTTAAAGGTAAGAAATGAGATGAAATGTGATGAGTTGGAAAAAAATATTATTTTATTGGATGTTGTGGGTGAGTTTTAGGGATGAAAATGGATAAAAATATTATTTTATTGGTTTCCTTGTACCGATTTCCTTTTCTTGGTTTTTAGGAAACCAACCAAACGGCCCCTAATGAGACTAAATGCTGCTTAGATATTATAAAATAATAAATGCATTTAGAAAGGTACCGGACCTCAACCAACTACGTAATGCCATACTACATACTCCAAACAATCATTTCAAATAACAATCTAAAAAATCATTGTAATCCTTTCCTTTCCATGAGTACCAATATCATAAATCAACGTCAAGGACTACACATTATACCTTTCCATCTATATATAAAATTAGTAACCTTTAAAGAAGACAATCATCACAACTAATCTCTAAATTTGAAATCGCCCTTTCAATGTGCTCTGTCCTTGTATTATTCCTAGAGTTACCAATTTGACTAATAATTCAACAATGCATGATAGATATATCACAATAACGAACAAGTAGCACTTTGCAAAATTGAAACTCGAACACGAACGAGCAAGATCATAAATTCATACCTCCCTCTCACGATCTCGCTCTTCATGAACTCAATCTCCCACTTCAACTCCTGAATTTTCCCCGCCTCCCCTCTCCCCTTCTCCACCTCCTTCTTCAACTTCTCCACTCTCTCCATCATCTCATCCCGATCCTGCGTCAACCTGCCAACATCCGACGTCACGGCGCCAGCTCCGCCCTATCGCTTCCACTCTCCTCGCCTCCTCCTCAGCCCTAACCGACCTCTCGTACACTCCCCTAACCTGAGCATCCCCTTCAACCTTTACCCTAGCAGCGGAGTCAGCGACGAGGCGGAGGTCGCGGTGGGAGGCGGCGAGGTCCTGCTTGAGGGCGATGTGGGTAGCGGCTAGGGTTTGGTTGTCGGTGAGGAGGCGGTGGAGGTCGCGTTGCTGGGCGGCGATGCACGTCTTCGAGGGGGAGGATGCGACGGGGATCATCGATCGGCGGCGGCGGACCGCGGTGGTGGTGGAGGGTGGAGGGGGGAGGAGGCGGTGGCGCCGGCCATTGGACGAGCGAAAAAAAGGGGAGATTTTTTGGGGGGTGAAGGTGATGAATTTGGGATTTTAGGGTTTTTCTTTGTTTTAAGACGTTTTAATTCGGAATTTGTTAGATTTTTTGAGTTGGACAATTGGTAATAACGGGTCGGGTACAGATAGAAATCCGTCCGAGATCGCAGGATTCGCAGCCCGCCATATATCTGTCCGTATTGGCTCAAATCGCCAAATTGGCATTAGCTAGTAATAAATATCACGTGAGAAAATTTAAGCTTTATCAAGACGATGACGTGGCATATGTGATGTTTAACAAAGAAAAATTCTTCAATGACCCAAAATATGGGACCAATAGGGGAGATAAGTGAGGTGTCCACGTCCTATTGGATAATGAGTTGGTCATCATTAATGATGGCCAACTCATTATCCAACAGGATGTGGACACCTCACTTGTTCCTCTTATTGGTCCCATATTTTAGGTCCCTGTAGCAAAGCTCTTTAACAAAACTGGAATTGTCTAATTTCCCTATTTGTTAGAAAACTCTTTTGAGAGGATAAAGGGAGCTCGGGCTCCATCGCTGCAGTGACCAAGATTACTAGGATTCAGTTGAATGATAATACAGATTTTTAAATGAATTTTGTCCTACATTTATAAACTAGGATTTTTGGCAAACTAAAAAAAAAAAGGTTCAATTCTCATCTACATTCTAAATCTCTTGAAGCTTGAGTATGATTTTGAAGATACAACAAAGCTTCTCCCAACTTGAACGGGGATGATAACGAAAAACGAATATTTTGAATATTAAATCTAATTCGAATCTCATTCTAATTTTAAATATAGGGGCGAGAGAAGCAAGTGACAATTATATGATACAAACTATTTCTGTCATGTTATTTAACTCATTGCTATATCAGCTTTTAAACCTGTTGAAATTAGTAACCATACTATCGTCACAGCGTATTTCGCATGCAAATTTTCGTAATCAATGACAGAATGTACCTTTCTTTATTAGATTTTTTAACATCCGAGAAAAAATATGATGTGAAATATATATTTTCCTAGCCTTTGTTATTTTGGATTTTTTTTTCTTGAGAGAATAGCATAGGAAATATATTTTCCCAGCCTTGTCGAAGTCAAAAAAATATCAACTTGATAAAGGGGCCTTGGCCCTTGATAAAGCCAGTTTGATTACTTGGCCACGCTTAATATGTACTAAAACAAAAAATAATTATCTTTTCGTAATGATATGAAATTATCAGAACGGAGGGCTCGCTCGCCCTTTAAATTTCTCCAAACCCGACCCGGCCCATTCACACCCCCGGGCCGAACCTATAAAGAGCTATCCCCTGAACCAATCAAACCGCCAAAATTTCACGTGCCCGCTCTGTCTCTTCAAATGTCCTCCGCAATCTCGCGACAAATTTCCCTTTTTCGAATCCAGCTCGAGAATCGAAGGTACTACGCTCAACTCGAAACCCTAATTTGTCGATTCGAAAATCTCCATAGATTCATTCTCTAGGTCAATCTATTTTATCTTCGACAGATTCAATGGCGCTGCGCTCCAGATCTTGGACTCGATATTGGCCGCCAAGGACATTCGATCTCTCCTAGAGATCAGATCGGCTCTTGGAGATCTCTTGCGGTCCGAGATCGCGCCTGTTTTGGGAGAAATTGCGAAGAAATCCGCTTATGAGAAGTTGCTTACTGTCGACTTCTTTGTCAAGGCATTTGCTCTTGTAGGAGACACGGAGGTGTGTTTTTCGTGGTGTTTGATGCTATGATTTGATTTTACTTTGGTCTAAATTTTGTTTTTCAATTAATCTTTTAGGCATCTTTATATGAAATTGGGGATTTAGAACTAATAAGTTTACGATGGAAAGTCGATTTGATATCTGCAATTAGTTAGAAAGCTTGTTCTTCTATACTTCGAACACACTGATAGGGAGTTTTCATATTGCCATTTAGTAATAGAAGATTATCTTTTGTGTGAGAATGATCTCAAAGTCTATGAAAGCAAAATCAGACTGTACTCGTAGCCTTTTGGCTAGAAATTAATCACTACTGAGGGGGAAATGAAAACCTGGATACTATAGCTAAGGATAGGAGGAAACCGGCAAGATTTCAGCTGTTCGTGAGTTAGTAATGAAAGAATAATAATATAATGAGAGGAGAAGAAGATTAGTTTCTAGCATTCAGTACATCAACCCTAATATATCTCAGAAGAGGCAATTATATGCAGTAGGTTGCACAATCATTTATCTCGCCGAGGCTGAGTCCTCCGGCTGCTCCTCCACAAATTTATTTCCTATGTCACATTGCTAGTTTTTGGAATCCATAGGGGAACTCACAATGAATCCATATGAAGGAACTATTGCTGTTTGAGGTGGAGAGGATGTTAGAGAAATTTCAAATCAAGTTAGCTTATAAGCATGCAAATATATCCGTGTGATCGTGGGGGGACCCACCCACGTGCTTGTCCCTTGTGCGGACGAGCTCTCGTTGTGAGCTCGCGCCGCCTGACAGCGCCGCGTCCGCACGAAACCCGCTTGGGTTTCGTGCTCGTTTTCTGCTCCCGCGCGCGCGAACTTCTCTTCCCGCGTTTCTTTGCCCGCCTAAATTTTCTGACTTGCCCCTTGTTCTCTCCTATAAATAGAGAAGGGGTGGAGGAGTTAGAGTGTGGGGAAATTAAGAGAAAAATAAGTGTGTTATTCTTTTGAGAGAAAAGAAATAGTGAGTTGAGAGAGAGCTTGTAAAGTTTGGTATTCTCCTCATATTGAAACCCCCTCCCGTGGACGTAGGCTAGTTTGCCGAACCACGTAAAATCCCGTGTTTGTATTTGTCTTATCTGTGAGTTGCCATAGCTTGTAGGTTCCCTCGATATTTCAGTCCTTGAACTGATGAGAGGAAGAGTGTATATTTCACTTTGATGAAATATATCACTTTCGATTCTTGTTTCCTTTGAGAAATAAGAATTTCATTATCTATTCTCGTTTCCTTTGAGAAACAAGAATATAGAGGTTGACTTGTGCTTTTGTGATAACAAAGGCCAGTGCTCTCTCTCAGGTGATATCGCTTCCGCGGCGGTGGGCGTGACTCCGCCCCAACAATTGGTATCAGAGCCTGTTATTCAGATTGGGAGTGGTGTAGCTTCTGATTTGAGGTGGTGCTCGGTAATTTCCTGAGACAAGCGGAGAATGGCGTCATTTACATAATACAAGCGAAAAATGGCGTCTACAAGTAAAACAAATAAAATTGGAAAGTACGAGATTGAAAAATTCAATGGGAAAAATGATTTTTCCTATTGGAGGATGCAGATGAAAAATTCGCTGATTTCGCAAAAGTTGCACAAGGCTTTGGCTGGAAGAGAAGAGCATAAAAATATATCTGATGAGGATTGGGAGGAGCTGGATCTGGAAGCACGAACGTCGATTATCCTATGCCTTGAGAGGGATGTAGCTTTCTTGGTAGACGGGGAGGAAACGGCTGCGGGTGTGTGGTTGAAGTTAGAAAGCACCTTCATGACGAAGAGTCTAACGAACCGGATCTATTTAAAATCCAAATTGTATACTTGCAAGATGGAGGAGGGCTCGTCAATCCGGGAGTACATCAACAAGTTTGATAGGATCTTATCAGACTTGAAAGACATTGAGGTGACAGTGGAAGACGAGGATCAGGCGTTTCTACTACTTCTATCTCTGCCGAAGTCTTATGAGAACCTGGTACAAACACTGATGCTTGTGGGTGATACTTTATCGATGGATGAAACTAGAACGACGCTTCTAACGGATGATCTTCGAAAAATTATAACTAATGATATGACCACTGGTGGTAACAAAGAACAAGCGCAGGGACTGTTTGCCAGAGGAAGAGGCAATGAGCGAGGAAAAGACAAGGGAGGAAAATCTAGATCGAAGTCGAGACCTCTTGCGGGACGAGCGTGTTTCAAATGAAAGTAGGTGGGAAAAAGAACAACAACAAGACTGAAAGACGAGAAGGCAAGGAAGAGGCGAGCTACGCTTCAAAGGATGGGAGCGATAAGGAATGTTATGTCGTCACGGATGGCGAGGATACCTCCGGGAAGTGGATTCTTGATTCTGGTTGTTCTTACCACATGTGTCCAAACAGGAAGTGGTTTACTACCTACAGGAACATTGATGGTGGAACCGTATTGATGGGGAACAACCATGTTTGTAAAACGGTGGGGCTAGGTGATATCAAAATCAAGATGCATGATGGAGTGGTTCGAACCCTGACGGACGTACGATACGTTCCCGGCTTGCGGAAGAATCTCATCTCAGTCGGTGCTTTGGACTCCGGGGGTTGCAAGATTGTAACAGAGAACGGAGTGAAGAGGGTTGTTCGGGGTTCCTTAACAGTGATGAAGGGTGTTCGTCACGGTAATCTATATACTCTCTTGGGTACGACGGTGACGGGAGATGCAACAGTTGGAGCTGAAGGAAGTGGTGGAGACCCATGTGACCACACACGGTTATGGCATAGGCGGCTTGGGCACATGTCAGAGAAGGGTCTGGATCTGCTTGGTAAAGAGGGTTTGCTGAAGAATCTGAAGAAGCCTTGCATGGATTTTTACGAGGACTGTGTGTATGGAAAGACGCACAGGGTTCAATTTCTGAGGAGCAAGCACAAGAGCAGAGGGATACTAGATTATGTGCACACGGATGTTTGGGGTCCGGCTTCGACAACTTCCAAGGGTGGTTCCAGATATTTTGTCTCATTCATAGATGATCATTCAAGATATGCTTGGGTTTATTTCCTAAAGCATAAGAATGAGGTGTTTGAGACATTCAAGAAGTGAAAGGCGATGGTTGAGAACAGGACGGGCAAGAAATTAAAGACACTGAGATCTGATAACGGTACAGAGTATACAGACGGTGCTTTCAAGGAGTTCTGTGATCAGGAGGGAATTGCCAGACACTGGACAGTAAGATCTACACCACAACAAAATGGGGTCGCGGAGAGACTGAACCGAACACTGCGGGAGAAAGCAGTGAGTATGCGATCATATGCTGGTTTGGGCAAAGAATGGTGGGCAGAATCGATTGCTACAGCTTGCTATATAGTGAATCGATCTCCACATTCGACATTGGACGGTGATACACCCTATCGGGTGTGGTCAGGGGAGCATGCAGATTATGAGAGGCTCCGGATTTTCGGATGTACCGCCTACTATCACGTCAACGAGGGAAAGCTTGACGAGAGGACCAAGAAGGCAATTTTCTTGGGGTATGCAAAGGGCGTAAAAGGCTACCGTCTTTGGTGTACAGAAGATTCGAAGTTCGTGATCAGCAGGGACGTTACCTTTGATGAGAAGTCCATGATTGCTAGGGTGCCCAAAGATGGTGGTGTTGAGACTGTTGGGACTCCCGAGTCCCAGGTTATTGAGATAGAACCGAAAGACCAACCAGGTTCTAGTCGTGTTCAAGTGGGAAATCAGGTAGATGATGAGCTTGAGCAGGAGGAGGTTCAGTATGGGCATGTTAATTTGGTTGAGTACGCACTCTCGGTGGAGGAAGATGAGCCGGTCTCCTTCAAGGAAGCTATTCGAGATAAGAATAGTGAGAATTGGTTGGCTGCGATGGAGGAGATGGAATCTCTCCGGAAGAACCAAACATGGGAGGTGGTCCCATTGCCCGTAGGAAAGAAAGCTATAGGTTGTAAGTGGCTGTATAAAAGAAAGGAAGATCCTTCAGAGCTCGGTGGAACGAGGTACAAGGCGAGGCTAGTGGCTAAGGGGTTTGCACAAAGAGAGGGTGTGGATTACAATGAGATATTTTCTCCGGTGGTGAAACACACTTCTATTCGGGTGCTACTGAGTATTGTTGCTCATGGTGATCTTGAGCTGGAACAACTCGATGTCAAGACGGCCTTCTTGCACGGAGACTTGGATGAAGAGATCTATATGCATCAACCTGAGGGCTACAAGGTTGAGGATAAGGAGCATCATGTATGTCGCTTGAGGAAGTCACTTTACGGATTGAAGCAATCTCCGCGGCAGTGGTACAAGCGTTTTGACTCCTTCATGCTGAAGCATGGGTTTTCCCGAAGCGACTATGATTGTTGTGTTTACATTCGGAAGCTTCGTGGAGGTGATTATATCTATCTCTTGTTGTATGTGGATGACATGCTTATTGCATCGAAGAACAAGGTGGAGATAGATAAGCTGAAATCTCAACTTAGCAATGAGTTCGAGATAAAGGACATGGGCGCTGCTAGGAAAATACTGGGTATGAAGATTAGAAGAGAGCGGGCGAATCGACGATTGTTCTTGAGTCAGAAGGGCTACATAGAGCGGGTGATCGCGAGGTTCGGGATGCAAAGTGCAAAGTCGGTGGTGACTCCATTGGCTCCACACTTCAGGCTTTCAGGTAAACAATCTCCCACTACAGCGGAAGATAAGGCACACATGGAGCGTGTTCCTTATGCGAGTGCAGTTGGCAGTTTGATGTACGCTAGGTGTGTACATGTCCTGATATTTTACAGGCGGTTAGTGTGGTCAGCAGATTCATGGTGAATCTGGGAAAGGCGCACTGGGAAGCGGTGAAATGAGTCCTGAGGTACTTAAAAGGTACCGCAGATACGGGTCTGTGTTTTGGTGGAGATACATGTCAGATTGACGGGTATGTGGACTCAGATTATGCGGGCGATCTAGATAGACGACGATCTACTACTGGTTATGTATTCAGAATACATGGAGCTCCAGTTAGTTGGCGATCAATATTGTAGGCTACAATGACACTTTCTACAACAGAGGCCGAGTACATGACTATGGCGGAAGGAGTGAAGGAAGCATTGTGGCTGTGGGGTCTTCTAGACGATTTGGGGATCGAGCAGAAAAGTGTGAACTTGTGGTGCGACAGTCAAAGTGCGATTCACTTGGCGAAGAATCAAGTTCACCATGCTCGTACCAAGCATATCGACGTCAGGTATCATTTTGTGTGGGATGTCATAGAGGAAGATGATATTTCTCTCATGAAGGTGCATACGAATGAGAATCCCGCGGACATGTTAACCAAGTTGGTCACAGGTAGCAAGTTCCAGCATTGCTTGAACTTGCTTCATATCAGCCCGTGTTGAGTTGCCCAAGAGGGCATGGCCCTGCGGGGCGAAGATGGAGATGAGGTGGAAACTATGTTGGAGAATAATTACAGAACTACGGTTAGCTTGATCCCGGTGGAGGGTATGTAGGCAGTCGTGGTATAGTGACGCAGCTGGTTTAGCCTGGTTTGGCCTGGATCTCTCTGGTGGAGTTCGTGTGGTTCTTCTGGTGTTCGTCCAAAATTTGAGGATTATCAAATGATGTACAAGGTGGAGAATTGTGATTGTGGGGGGACCTACCCACGTGCTTGTCCCTTGTGCGGACGAGCTCTCGTTGTGAGCTCGCGCCGCCTGACAGCGCCGCGTCCGCACGAAACCCGCTTGGGTTTCGTGCTCGTTTTCTGCTCCCGCGCGCGCGAACTTCTCTTCCCGCGTTTCTTTGCCCGCCTAAATTTTCTGACTTGCCCCTTGTTCTCTCCTATAAATAGAGAAGGGGTGGAGGAGTTAGAGTGTGGGGAAATTAAGAGAAAAATAAGTGTGTTATTCTTTTGAGAGAAAAGAAATAGTGAGTTGAGAGAGAGCTTGTAAAGTTTGGTATTCTCCTCATATTGAACCCCCTCCCGTGGACGTAGGCTAGTTTGCCGAACCACGTAAAATCTCGTGTTTGTATTTGTCTTATCTGTGAGTTGCCATAGCTTGTAGGTTCCCTCGATATTTCAGTCCTTGAACTGATGAGAGGAAGAGTGTATATTTCACTTTGATGAAATATATCACTTTCGATTCTTGTTTCCTTTGAGAAATAAGAATTTCATTATCTATTCTCGTTTCCTTTGAGAAACAAGAATATAGAGGTTGACTTGTGCTTTTGTGCCAACAAAGGCCAGGGCTCTCTCTCAGGTGATATCGCTTCCGCGGCGGTGGGCGTGACTCCGCCCCAACAATTCGAAATAAAGTAAACTAAAAATCTGGCCTGATCAGGAGTAGTCGTGCAAGCACTACCCTAGAAAATTGAGGATCCGCATATCGTCCTGACGCAGATGATCTCTTCTCCTCTAGCGGTAGAAACCACCGGAATTGGCCGACCTCTGTACTCGGGGGAGAGTATAGAGCTTCTGCTCAGATGAAGACGGTTGCCCAAAAAATAAAATAAAGCCGAGAATTTTTAGAGAGAAAGAAGACAGAGAGCTTTGGTTTTTTAGAAGAGAGAAGAGTTTTCGTTGCTGTGATTTTAGGTGCTGGTTAGGGCTCTATTTATAGGTTGAGAAACTAGAGCCGTTCCTGGATCCAAGCAATAAATTCGGAAACGTCAGCCAAATCCGCGCGACCGTTACACATTCCAAAATCACGCAGCCGTTACGCACGTTTTCTACGTGAAAAACGTGTAAAATAAAGTTTGAAAAAACAAAAAAACGCGTTCGCGCGTGTTATGCAAAGCCCAAACAATAGAAAGTCCAAAACACCCTCTTCTTAGGGACCCTCAAAGCCCATAGAGAGGACAAGCAATTTAACCCTCGAGTATTCATCAATTTAGTCCATGTGGGACATTTCATTGAAGGAAAAATTGCATTTTCTCCTCTACAAGGCCAACGAAGGAGTGTAGAGTGAATTAGATAACACGCTCGTTGCCCCTTTTCTATAGATTGCAGTCCTATCTACTGAACCTCCTGGATTGGATTGGGCCAGAGGCCTTAAGTAGGCATATTTTCTTAAGAAAGAATCCTCTGATTTATTTATTTTTTGGTTTTAGTAGTTTATTTTTATTTTTTTAAGAAAACAATGTTGACTTTCGCTCTATGGTAAGCCAAATATACTTCGCTCCATTGTCATCCTAATCGTTTGATTAAAATTCATCATTTAGTTGCTCTGCGTTTTTTCTATGCCAAATATCTTTCACTCTATTGTAAGCCTCCTATCCGACTAAATCGATGTATTTATGCATGTCGTTGTAGAGTTGCTTAGCTTTGAAATATGAGGCCTTAGTTCTGCGGGAGACAAAATGTGCTGTTGATCATGACCTGCATGTGTCATATCAGGAATGGTATGCTTTCGGCAAGGACTCACTCGATAATGGATTCTATACAATTGCTGTCAAGGTAAACCTTTCACGCTAGTTATGTCTCTATGTTGTAGTAAATAAAGTCAAATCTCATGGTTCCATTTTTATCCTCTTGCACCTTGATGCTTAAATAAACATGCACTTTCTGATTTTTATATTAAAGTTTAAGCTGGATAGGGGTAGTTTTATCATTTTATTTCATGAAATGGCTGCTGCATTCTCACTGTTTTCTCTGTTGAGGTTTTTCAGCCTCATCTTTGTGAGCCAATTCTCAATTTCAGTTTCTTGAACTAATTCAAAATTTAATTGAAATATTGGTT